TCAGATTTTTAAAAACTTTTATATGTAATGTATGTTCAATTTTTGAGTAAAATTTTTTTAGTCGATATCCTTATATAGAAAATAATTTACATTCACCCTACCTTTAAAAAAATTTATATTAAATTTTATAAAATAGCTATCAAAAATTTTTTGTTCTAGTTTTGTTATTATTACTTTTTTAGAAGGTAGTAAAATTCTCCAAACTTTGAATAAAATTTTCTTATCAATTTCTTAATAGAATTTAATAAAATTTTTTTATGATAAATAAATTTTGCTAATTTATAAAGTTGATTAAAAAAATTTATTATTTTTTTAGATAGTTTTCAAGAAAATATAGTTCAAAATTAAAATTTTAACTTAATAGTCTATGAACTACCCTGTATTACTATTAAAATTTTACTATTATATAAGGTTTATATAACTTATCAAATAGCAAGTCTTACTTTAATGTAATATTACATGATAGAAAGATCAAAAATTACTTATTTCTCAAAATTTGCATAATAAACCACTTTTGCACTCTAACAAAAAATTCTTTAAGCAATTTTACTATGTCTTGCTAACATTTAACTTTATTATAAACACTAACTCTAACCTAAATAAACTTAAAAGATTTTTTTCGTGCGTTATTTTGCTGTCATGTGATAGTGAAATTTTAATGGTGGGATAACTACTAACACAGCAGCACGTGATTTATTTCCTAATTCTGCCATATTTTAACATTAACCTTAACTATAATGCTAGCCATGCTGTGTCATTAAGGTTAGTACTGGTCATTAGCTGTGTCGATAAGGCTGTGTCAGTAGCTATCCCCTTAATGGTGATGCAAAAAGAGAAACATTCATTTTTGATACTTCTGTACCTACTTTTCCAATAAAAAGTATAGATATTTTAGGGTATATTTAGGTGTATCAAAAATGTAGGTGCAGAAGTATCAAAAATGAATGTTTTGCCGCAGGAGAAGATATAGCTCAGGGACCAGAAATTTTTTGAATCCAATTTTTTTTCAAATTTTTTAATTTTAGTCACATTTTTTCTAAAATTCTTAATATTATTGCACAAATAAGATATTTTGATCTTAATTAGCTATAATCAAATATGATACTTTAGAAATATTTTGAGAAAAGGTTTTATTGTCTTTTTTATTTTTCTAATATATGTTTTCAAAAATCTCTTTACATGTTCCTTTTTTTAAATGATCTTATATCGATATGCAGAAATCATGATTATTTTGCATCTAATCATCATGATTAGAGATATTATGGGTTTGTTCGGCTTTATTAATTAATCAGTTTTTATAATAGTTAAATATCCAAGCTGGATCAAGCTAATAACATTTCTACTTTGTATATAAGATCATTAGTAACTTTTAAAACACCCAGCATACAGTAGTATGGCGATAGAATATATGTTTACTTCTTTTTAATACACAGTTGAACGCAAATTTTCAAATATAGTAATATTTTGAAGGTAATCGTAAAAATGCTTAATTAGATCTATTTTAATAAAGAAAATATATAAAATTTATATCCAAATTATATCCAAATTTTTATCGTTATTCAAATAATTTTGTTCAATTTGAAATCCAAATATTTTCCAGTCCCTGCCGTAGACTGTCCGACTGTAGATGACAGGTCACATAATCTGATTTTTTTGGGTGATGATTTAATCTATTTTCGGGAAAATGGTTTTCGAAAAATCGTATGTATGTGCGTACGTACGTACGTACGTACATGATTTGAACTGGGTAATAAAATTCCTAATCGGTTGACCGAGTTAGCTTACCCGAATACAGTCGGCTCAACCGTATTATTTCGGTTAGGTCAGTTGACCCGGACCAGCTGAATTAGCTAGGTTAACCGTATTAGCTAGGTCAACCGAACTAGTCAGGTTAATCACAGCTGTTCTCATAAATTCTGGAACAACTGAAAAATTTTTGATGTCCGAATTCGACAAGTTATCGAGTCGGAATCAATAGGTAACTGGCTTCGGTCGAACTCAGAAACTTATCGAATTCGGTTATCATAAAAGTTTCAGTTGTCTCAGAATTTATGTAAGTTAATCGGGTTAGCTGAGCCAACCGAATTAACTGGGTCAGCAGAATTAGCCGGGTCAACTGAGTTATGCGGTCAGCAAAGCTAATCGGGCCGACTAAGTTAAAGGCCTCCATTATAGGTTATGACCACCCTTTTATTCGCGAATTTTTGATAAAAAAAAATATATTAGTAAAAAAGTTTGCAAGCAAATAGAGAAGCTCAAAGGAATGTATCAAAAATAAAAATCTATACATATCTCTTAAATATTACAGATGCGAAGAAATTGGCAGAAAAGAGTACAGGCCACAAAAATTAGATTCCGGTCAACCGATTATGTTAGGTTAGCCGATTATGTCGAGCAACCGATTATGTTGGGTCAACCGATTATGTCGAGCAACCGATTACCGTATTTTCCAAACATGTATACCCCCGTGGGCTATACCCTGTAGCAATTTAGAGTGCCAAATTTTGATTTATACCCGGGTATAAAATATGGGAGTAGCATACTTATGTACCCGGGCATATAATAGTAAAACATATCAAAAACATAGAAGTACTCGTACAATATACCCCCCTACACACGTACCCCGGGTACTAAAACGGGCTAGGAAAATACCCCCGGGTACACCTGTTGGAAAATACGGTATGTTGGGTCAACCGATTATGTCGGTCAACCGATTAACCAATTATATTGAATTAACCGGTTAAGCATTTACTTAACCGGTTCGCCCGAATTTTTCGGTTCGGTTCAGTTATCCGATTATAGCCTAACCGGTTCAAATCACTAGTACGTACGTACATACATAGGTGTGTACGTGCTCGAACCCATACAGACAACTATCAAGACACTAACGACAAATTAAATGTCATCACCTGTAATACATATGAAGACATAAATACAAAGTGAGACAAACAAATACAGTACAACAAATCCTGAATCTTGAAATTTCAATAACTTTTGATAAATTATTTCGAGGACCATTTAATATTTGAATAAACAATACGTTTTTGACGTATCATTTGAAGTGGGCTGGTTTCATATTATTCCAGAAGAATCTAGAATGAACAAAATGTCGTTTTATTTCATTAAATAAAAAAATTAAATAAAACTTTATCTACAAGAATATAAAATTAAATTGCTACATTAAATTCAAACTGTTAACATTACGGTAAAAGTGTCGATTATGAACTCCGATTTATGATGCAGTGGACTAAAAGTTTTCATTCAGATCCAAGTTCGTGTTTCAGAACATGGAACCATTTTAGTTTACGCTTCTTACAAATATTTTCTTAATATAGATAAACATGAATGATTGCTCTTTTTACAACAAATAAATTTATTCATTATCATCAATACTACCTGAGAAGTTAAGGTAGTACTATTCCATTTCAACAGCTTCTTTACATGTATTAAATTTTGTTATAAACGATTAAGTTTCAGATAGGGTACTAGTAGATATTTTTTGGGCTAAATCTACGTTACCATTTTTTAAACCAAAATAAGTCCAATTTTATAATTAATACGCCATCGAATAATATTGATATCTCCAAGAATGGCTGAGCCATTTTCAATGATTTAAGATATTGATTTGGCCAAAATTGCCTGGCCATTTTTTAGGATTGATGATCATTTCCTTTTGTAAATTCAATTTCTTATTCTTAAAATCACGTAATCACGCATGTACGCACGTACGTGCGTGCGCACGTGCGTAGGTGTCGTGAACTGTTACAGAACAAAATGAAATCAGATTAAATTTATACTCTCTTATTAATAATTTTAACCCTAAGCCTGGGGATAGGCGCATGAGCAGAAATTTTGAGAGTCTGCCAATGCCTACCCAATTCCTAACTCAAATTCTAAAAAAAGGTGCATCCCAAAAAGTTTTTACCACGATAAATTTAAAATAGGTCAAAATTTCATTCATCTGCTACACGAACTGCATGTATTCACGTGATTTTTGTATCGTTAAGTTGACGCGTATATATATTTACAAAAGAACAAATGAATACAATTCATATCTCTATATTGAGTAAATTACACCTCTGCAGTGTTGCAATGTATCAAAGAACACAAAGACCATTTTAATCGTTAAGAATCGATTCTGATGGCGCTACTTAATGCGAAATAGACATCGGAAGGTGAACTCCATAAGGTGAATCTATGTGAATTACAATTTCTTTTAGTTTCATATAAATATTTAAATAACTTCATTGTTGTATTGTAATATCACGTATCATACGTGCGAATTTGTAATAAATAGTCCTGTTCTACTTCATGTTCTAAAAATTCGCTTTGCTAAAAACTAAAAATGCTCATAACTCAAATCACCTCATTTTTTGTAACTGTCTCAACTAAAATTTCTTCGTTTCTTAAACCTATCTCAACTAAAATCTCCTTATTTCTTGAACTCATCTCAACTGTAATTATCTTATTACTTGAACTATTGGAGGTGTTTATTTCACATGTGATATCATTTTTAAACGATGAACATGGATTTCCTTATTTACATTGCTTTTTAACTTACTCATCATTTATCTTGACATGTTTCCTAACCTTTTCACCATATGTCCCAGTCTTATTATTTATCATACAACCGTATCTTGTGTTTGCTCGACCAGCTCTCTCATACAAAGTACAAAAGCATAACTATGATATTTTTATTCAACAACGCTTCTTTATTTTATTCTTCCTTCTAAGACACAGTATTCCCCTTGTTGCTGGTATATATTTCATTGCACATTATGAAACACCAATATTCTATGCATTGGCCACAATTTATGCACTTTGTTATCTTCAAATTGATACCTTTAAAAAATTCAATCATGTTCAAGATTCCATTCAAAAAAGGCAAGAATTAAAAGAACCAAGACGAAATCAGCAGTTAAATGTGAACGAGGAAGTGAAACAATATAATATCCTTTACTTTTTCCGTTTCGGCTATTACTATCTTATTTCTACTACTACTGAAATCAGAAAAACATGCTTTGCCCGGACGTTCGATGATTTATTTAATGATATCGACTTAGATAGCCTTAAAAATAAAGGGATTAATGAAAAGTTTGATAAAGATGACTTGGTCATTCAACATGATCAAACGAAATTTACTGAAAAACAGTTTAGATTAATCGAGTTAGATGTCGTTTCGGTCTATCGACAACGAACTGTTTACATCAGTAAATCAGCCAGTGATTCTATGCCAACAAATTATATTTCAGTTACTCCTTTCTTTAGATCAACTAAGCATGAATGGAAAAGATTTATTAAGAGTAAAGAAGCTTCATTCGATTATTATTGATGCTCCCTTCAAAGCTTTACAAATGTTTTTACAAAATAGAAAAAAACCTTGGTTCAAAGTTTTTTAATCAGCTCAAGTTTATATGCTAATATAAATGGTATATTTAATAAGCAGCATCATATGTACAACACATTCTCATAACCTATCAATTATTTTGTTTGGTTTCTTTTTTTTTATTTACTTACTGATTTTCGGACTATTGTTTTTATTTTTTTTTTATTTATAGTTTCATTTGCTGACCCGCTATTATTTCTTTATATTTGAATTTTATTTGTTAGTTAGTGTTAGACGTATTAAAAATGTACTGTGACAACTTGCAGATAGTGCAATTAGTAGTGATAATTTTGAATACGTAATGAGCCAAATAATGTACAGAAAAATTAGTATTTATTCTTGTGAACATATCGTGAGGCTTCTGTATAATTAACTAACATTTCCATGTCATAAATGTTTCAAATAAAGATCGTATTATAATTAACAGATAGCTTTACAAATTGATCTGTTCTTGAGTGATTAGACGCGAAATCTGCGTTGTCGTGTATCATTATTGTTGTTATACTGTATCATTAAGATGAAAGGTATAAATTTCATATGTTACACGTCGGCGATCAATTATAACCAACCCTCGACACGTCGTTTTGACCGTATAATGAACTAAGACTACATTCAAGAAAAGAACTATTTAATTTCAAAATTCAATAGTATATAACCATTAAAATCAGTGACTTCGGTAAAAATTTCCTTACCGCACAGATCAAGACTTTACTTCGTAAGACGGGTCAGAATATTTCAGGTTCCCTAATAATTTCGCATTAATTATTCAAAAGATGTTCTTATTTTTGTATTTATTCAACTAGACACACGGATACGCCCAAATTATTTAGCACTATAATAAAAATAGAGGTAAATTTTTTATTTTGAACTTCGAATTCATTTTTATACTATATGTAATATTTCTTTTACCAAATATCATTAAGCCATGCAAACAAATTAGGTTCTCATGTAGAAGAGCTTTTACTGTACCGTTGTCGTGCTTGATATTAGCATCTGCTTGGAGTTACTTCAAGAATCTGAAGCTGCACCTACCTATCTAAATTACTAACTAATGCATGCCGGAGGATCTAATTTCAAGTACAGTCAGACCTCTCTAAGTGCACCCTCTACGTATAAGTGCACACCCTCTCTAAATACACAGATTCTGGCCCAAGTATATTCTTGAACTCTATAAATGCACTTTTTCTCATTATTCTCTAAATGCACATTGCTAAAGTGTGGTTCCAAGAGCATGACTTAGAGAGGTCTGACTGTACTATTTTAATCGAGCAATTCCAAGTGCTTGAAGTTACAACTTCATGCAAATGCTAATCTCAAATGCTATATAATATAACTTGAGTTATTATGATCAAGAAAGGTTCACATATAAGGATCTTGTAAAAAAAATAATGAATTACAAAAATTGAAGAAATTGTTAGAATAAATCAAATCATTAATTTTTAGCTAAGTAGTCTACAAATAATATTTTGTTTTCTGCTAATCCTGAATGCAATTATTTGTATTATTTTATTTACAATGATTTATATTGCAATTAATAAGTCAGGCATATGTATATATATAATATTCTTCATAATAGCATTCATTATAAAGAATTCTTGATATATTGAAAATTTTCAATTACATTATTGGGCACCTAGTAATTTGAATTTGAATTTGATATATAAATTTCAATTAGAATTTATAAATTCAATGTTTTGACTTATGAGTTCAAGCACAATTGGTTAAGAATAACTTTATTGAGTAAAACTAGATTTTATTAGTATAGAATTGGCAAAGCATAAATTAATATAGTAGATATTTACAAAAATTATCTATTTTATAATATAATATAATTCTTCAGAATATACAAACTTTAATAATTTTTATATATTTTTTGTTAATTAATTTATTTCTAAGTTTAGATTACTATTTAAAAATTTTGATTTAGAATATTAATAATTTTGGTTATAATTATTTTAATTATTTTGGTCAAATTTTGTATTTTTAAAATTACTACTCTTTAAGCAATTGAAATTTATTCTCTACATTTTTAAATTTATTTTTAAATAAATAAATATCAATAGTTATATTATAAATAATTCTAATAATTTTTTCTAAAATTATCTATTTTAGCTAATTTTTAATAATAATAAATTTAAAGTCCTTAATTTAACAATGAAATACCAACTCTGTTATGTGGTGAATCTAACTAGGCAGCAAGTTCCTAGCTTTAGATACGAGGCTGTTAGGCCACCTGCACTAATTATGATTGCACAAATAAAATACCTTAGAGGGAAATTGCAGTGGATCATGCTTGCAAGTATATCAACTTGGAAGCTCATTAGAAGCAGACATCTGACATATCAAATTAGAAGTTATAACTAGTTATATAAAATGTGGGGGAATGTGATATTATTAAAAATAGTTAGTTGAGAAGCGTTAAGCTAGATAAGACATGTGTGAAGTATGAACCACTCTAGTAGGTTTAGGTCATAAATAAATTAGTCTAAGTCTCTGTAGTGCTATATTAGTATATATATAAAGATTTATCTAAATATATATTAATAAAAACCAGAAACGTAAACTCACCTTAAATATTAAAAAAATAATAATAATAAATTTATTTAATTTATTTATTTTAATTTTAAATTTATTAAAATTTTTATTTAACAATTTTTGAAAATAAGTAAATATACTTTATTTATTTTTTAATATTTTTTTTTAAATAAATTCTATAAAGTAAAATAAATTATTGTTTCTAATTAGTCTAAATTAGTATCTTTTTTATTTATTATAGAAATTTTTATTTTTTTTTATATTCAGCAGTCCTGCCTTATTGCTTTTATTGGAAGTATCAGGAAGCTATTACAACAGAAGGTAATAACATTTCTATACTATATACCTATACTAATAAGACTCACTCGGCCAAAGGCCCAAGTGTGACCCTACCTAGCAGCAATCAACTTCATGTTGGATCCTCAACTTACTGAGGATTTGTGCCCTTCGATCATGAGCCATAGCAGCTACATACTCATTAAGTAGCCAAATACAAAAATACTAACGAAAGGAAAAACACAGAGGTATAGGGGATCACGTTAAAATATACAAGCAAGAAAGAAAAGAGGAAATCAAAGACAAAGAAAAACAAAACAAAAAGAAATTTGTCTATCCTAATATCACTATTATAAGCCCGTGAAAAGCTTTAAAAAATTACATA